TATGTCACGGATGAAAATGGAGAGCAGAAGACGTCGCTCAAAGTAGAGAAGCCCTCCAGGTCCAAGAAGAAAGAGGAGCAGTTCAACATGTACAGCAAGTCGAAGGGAGGAGGGAGCCCAGCTGCTGACAATGTAGGGGAAGGCTCAGGGCAATTGATAGCTCAATTGGGTAGAGTGTGGGGCTGATAATGCCAAGGTTGCTGGTTCGCTCCCTGTGTGGGACAGCTGCATATTCCTTCATTGCAGGGCATTGGATGAAATGATCCACAGGGTCCCTTCCAATTCTATAATTCTATAATGAAACTTAAGCTTCGGGCTCCTAATCCTGGAGGAGCCCCAGAAGTTGCTTTCATCCACATTGCTTAAAAACTATGAGACCCCATATGAGTTGCATGACTCAAATTGATTATTATTATTTCATAGAATCATAGAACTGTAGAGTTAGGGATGCAGGTGGCGCTGTGGTCTAAACCACTGAGCCTCTTGGGCTTGCCAATTGGAAGGTTGGCAGTTTGAATCCCTGCCATGGGGTGAGCTCCCATTGCTCTGCCCCAGCTCCTGCCAACCTAGCAGTTTGAAAGCACGCCAGTGCAAGTAGATAAATAGGTACAGCTGGGGCGGGAAGATAAACGACATTTACGTGTGCTCTGGTTTCCATCACGGTATTCCGTTGCGCCAGAAGCTGTTTAGTCATGCTGGCCACTTGAAAGCTGTCTGTGGACAAACACTGGCTGCCCCAGCCTCAAAGTGAGATGAGTGCCGCAACCCCATAGTCGCCTTTGACTGGACTTAACTGTCCAGGGGTCCTTTACCTTACCTTTAGAGTTGGAAGGGGTCTAGTCTGACCCCTCTGCAATGACTGATGTGGGATTCAAACCCACAACCATGAGATTAAGAGTCTCATTCTCTACCAACTGAGCTATCTTGTTAAAGGAGATGACTTGTTGGACATATTTCAACAATCCCGAAGTCTGAGTGTCAGTAGCGCAGATGTTGTAAAGGTTTGGTGATATGATGTGGAACAACCCCATTGATAATGATAACAGAGGTTACCCAGACCTTGTTGCTGGTTGCGAAGGGGCCCCCATGGCAGTTCAGGGCCCCCCCAAATGTAGGTCTGCCACTGACAACATACAGCTTCTCCAAAGCAATTGTATTATTATTATTATTATTATTATTATTATTAATTTGAGACCATCATACCATGAAAACAGATCAAAACAACCCTACCACAGGAAGCTTGGGCAACACACTAGTAACAAAACAGCGCCCATCTTAGTCTATCGAAAGCCTAGACAGAGAGGCGGGGAGATAAGTTTTTACCTGGTACCAAAACATATGTCAACAAAGGCACCGGGTGGCCCTCACTGGGGGGAAGCACATTCCACAAATGGGGAGCCACAACTAAAAAGGCCCCTCTTCCTTGTCACTGCCCTCCGAGCCTCCCTCAGATGAGAGAACTGGAGAAGGGCCTCCAAAGGCTATCTAAGGGTCCGGATTATGTTCATATCAGGTAGTTTGTTATGGGTGCTGGGAATTGTAGCCCCGTGAGAAGGGTAAACCACAGTTTCTTTAGGGGAAGCCATGTGCTTCGAATGGACTAAAACTCTTCCTTTCTCTTTTTTCTTTTTAGGATCTGAGCACCAAGGCCTACGAATCCATGGCGGTGGCTGAAGATTATGAAAATGTATCAGCCGGTGAGCTGACTGGACTTTACGGGAACCTGGGCAACTGGCAGCCCGCCTCTGGAACCGACCAGATCTACTCCAACGTCTGACCCGAGGAAGGAGAGAACTTTTGTCCAAATGCTTTCCTTTTCCTTGTTTTTTCTATTTAACAAGTGCTTGTATAATAACTAGAAGTAATGCTAGCTAGACCAATGGGGGTGATCGAGTAGGAGAGCCATGGGGGGAGGGAGGGATGGTGTCAAATTTGTACGCCCAAATAAATCTTCTGGGGCTCCCTCCATGCAACGGTTACCTCCTACAATTCCCTGGGGGAGTTTTGTTAGTATAAACCCTGGGGACTCCCTGCTGCAGGGAAAACAAAATACTAGTATTAACTCTCAGGACTTCCTGCTCTTTTTGTGTGTGTCCAGGGATATGTTCTTGGGTGTAGAACCCCAGTTCCCAGTCCATGAGGGGGAATATTTATGACCTTACCCCCCGAGGCTCCTTTCTGTGAGGAAGTATTATTGATCCTCACCCCTGGGATTTCTTGCTGCAAGAGGGATAGCTAATGGCACTGAGCCCCTCCAAGTCTGAAGGGTGTTTGGAGGGTTGTGCTGTTCTAATCCCGTCTTTCTTTCTATGGCTGAGGTCTTTCCTGCTGTTCTGAGCCCATTGTGTCAGTGGATTTTACTGTCAAGACTTTCAAAGTATATGTCTCTATTTTTGTACTTTCAGCATGAATCCGTGGCTTTTATTACTGTGATTAATTTGGGAATGGGGCGGCAAGGAGGGTGCCGTGGAGATCTCTCAGCGGGGGTGGCAGCAGGAGACTGCCTTAAATGGAATACTTCTTCGAGCACACAGAAGATTAGGGGTTGCTGTGTTTCCTTTCCCAACTAGGCTCCTGTCTGAACAGCTACAGGACGGTCAGAAATAAAGCAGTTCCCTTTCTGCCACTGCATAGCACAGGTCAAATGTCACCCTCCAGGCCCCTCTAGACCCAGCCATCAGGACTTTCCCCAAACTATTGCTCTCATCAGCAGTAGCGTAGTGGAAAATTCAGAAGTTCAGGGTCTCTTTCTGATAATCACCCCCACGCCCCTTCTAAGATTATACAATCATATTACAGTGGTACCTTGGGTTACATACTCTTCAGGTTACATACGCTTCAGGTTACAGACTCCGCTAACCCAGAAGTATTACCTCGGGTTAAGAATTTTGCTTCAGGATAAGAACAGAAATCATGCAGCAGCGGCACAGCAGCAGCAGGAGGCCCCATTAGCTAAAGTGGTGCTTCAGGTTAAGAACAGACCTCCAGAATGAATTAAGTTCTTAACCCGAGGTACCACTGTATAATTATACAACAACAACAACAATAATAAGGAATGCATTGCAACAATCAGTGCAGATCTCCATGTCTTGCCTTTCAGCAAGATCCGCTATTTTCTGTGCAAGTACACATGGGCAAACGTTTTGGTAAGTGGTTTTTTCCATGAAGTGGCAATGTACAAAAGTTGCACACCGTTCTCTTGAGAATGAAGCACCTTGTGTTTAAAGTTTTCCTAAATGGTTACCTTTGGAGCACACAGAAACCCCTCCCCCCCCCACTTCAGTCTTCTTTCTGCGCACCTTCTCCAGGGTGACCTTAGCTTTGGAAGCCTGGAACTGAGAATGCCTTATTCTGGGCCTCTATGCATGAAATTCCCCTTTTCCCCACTTTGGTTTTTCATGCTTACATCTCCCTAGTTTTCATAAATTTATGAAGCATTTTAGGGTGCTGAAACATTTTCACACGCAATACCATGATATACAGAAAGGCAGCACTACACGTACAACCCCAGACCCTCCAAGTGCCCCTATTTTCCAGGGATGTCCCTGATTTAGAAAAACCGTCCCAGTTTCTGATTTGATCCCGGAATGTCCCGCTTTTCCTCAGGATGCCCCTATTTTCAATGGAGAAATGTTGGCGGATGTGAAGATTTCTCTCCCCCCCCCCCAGCTGTCTGAAGGCAATCCTGTATAGGGAAGGTTTTTTTTTTAAATGTTTAATGTTTTATTGTTTTTATATATGTTGGAAGCTGCCCAGAGTGGCAACCCAGTAACGTGTGTGGGGGGGGGTATAAATAGTAAAATTTTCATTATGGAATGGGACGTCCCTATTTTCATTGGAGAAATGTTGGAGGGTATGCAACCCCCTCCCACCCCCCCATAAGTTCAAACTTCTAGTCCACTGCAATTGGGGTAATGTGCAGAATCCAGTTGTATAAATATCTTCATCCAAACACACAGAAATCTCATATTAGTTTAACACCAGCATTCATTACATGTGCATCCTGAGCTGAAATACCAGAGACCAAAACCTCATGAGGAGACCAAACCTTAGCTTGAAAGACTCAAGAACATTTCACCTGGAGAAGGGATTCTTAAGAGGTGATGTGATAAAGGTAAAGGTAAAGGTACCCCTGCCCGTACGGGCCAGTCTTGACAGACTCTAGGGTTGTGCGCCCATCTCACTCAAGAGGCCAGGGGCCAGCGCTGTCCGGAGACACTTCCGGGTCACGTGGCCAGCGTGACAAGCTGCATCTGGCGAGCCAGCACAGCACACAGAAACGCCGTTTACCTTCCCGCCAGTAAGCAGTCCCTATTTATCTACTTGCACCTGGGGGTGCTTTCGAACTGCTAGGTTGGCAGGCGCTGGGACCGAGCAACGGGAGCGCACCCCGCCGCGGGGATTCGAACCGCCGACCTTTCGATCAGCAAGTCCTAGGCACTGAGGCTTTTACCCACAGCGCCACCCGCGTCCCAGTTAGGTGATGTGATACTCATCTACAAATATTTGAAGGGCTTTTATATGGGTGATTGAGCAAGTGTATGTTCTGATGCTCTGAAGGGCCGGACCCCAGCCACTGGGTTCAATTTACAAGAGGATTTTGGTTAAACGTTAGGAATGACCTGCTGACTGCTTTAGCTGTTTGACCGTGAAACAACCATCCTTGGGAGATGGGGAGTTATTCATGGTTAGAGGGGTTTTTTAAGCAAAAAACGGATGGCTACCTATCAGGGAGGCTATGGTCGTAGATTGCTTGCATCAGCCAGTAGAAGATAAGGAAGAAGAAGAAAAAAATTAGAATTATTTAGATGAGTCTATCTGCACCTGAAGCCCTGGAGAGTTGCCACCAGAGGACGGCAGAGGACACAAGCCTTTTGACAACCTTATGTTCCCCATATGCGCTTGAGACTAAAACTCCCACCTCCCCCTGCTATGGCAGTTGTGAGGTAAAAAGTAATCGCAAACACTCCGTGAGGTAAAAAAAACCTTGCAGACAGTCGTGTGGTAAAAACGCTTTAATTCCCAACAGTAACAAATGAGAGCCCACAAAGCGAGCAAACGAGAAAAACAGTGCCAAACTAATAAATAAGGAAAAAATTGTTGAAGGTGGTAGGGAGCAGTACGGGGTGGGTGGGGGGCAAGCTTGGGGAGCCTGGTGTGTGTGTGGTGCTGAGACGGGGCGCGGCCCGGTGGTGCCAAAGTCATCCTTGGCCCTCAGCCCCAACAGCACATGCCACATCCTTTGTTTCTGCAGCAATTGCAGCAGTAGCGGCAGGTGGGGAAGTGGCTGTTGAAGCGCTTGGCTCTCCGTAGCAATGCCTGCGGTGGGGAGAAGAAAGAGCCCGTTATTAACGGAGTCATTTATTCGTTTTGCAGTCTGCCCTCCCCATATATGCTTAAAATGAGGCTTGAATACAAAGCGCAAATAAAGTAAAACAATAATAAATAAATAAACCAGTAAGACCTATAGCAGCCCCTCCAAATGTCCCTATTTTCCAGGGACGTCCCTGATTTAGAGAAGCCATCCCGGTTTCTGATTTGATCCCAGGATGTCCTGCTTTTCCTTAGGACATCCCTATTTTCATTGGAAAAATATCGGAGGGTATGCTATTATTCGACTCCAGAGTTGTCTGAAGGCAATCCTTTTTTTAAAATGTTTTGTTATGTTTTTGTATATGTTGGAAGCAGCCCAGGGTGGCTGGGGGTGACCCAGTCAGATGTGTGGGGTTATAAATAGTAAAATAATCATTATGGAAGGGGACATCCTTGTTTTCATTGGAGAAAGGTCGGAGGGTATGGACTAGTCACTAGTGCAATTTAAAACAAATGAAATTAATAGTCACTCATGTTTACCTCAGAAGAGGGTCTACGAGCATTTTTCGGGCCAAAGTTTGCAAGCGGGGCTTGGCCTGGTTTGGTTAATAATAATAATAATAATAATAATAATAATAATAATAATAATAATTTATTATTTATACCCCGCCCATCTGGCTGGGTTTCCCCAGCCACTCTGGGTGGTTTCCAACAAAGTATTAAAATACCATAGTCTGTTAAACATTAAAAGCTTCCCTAAAGGAAAGCTTTTTATTAAGGAAAGAGGTACAGATTGTATACTCCTTTTTCCCAAATGTGGTTAAAAGGGGGCTTACACATAGGCTCAGATACGAAACAACAGATAATATATGGAAGCATAAATAAATAAAAATAAAAACAAAAAATTTTAGGCAGACCAACACGGCTACCTATCTGTAAATAAAAATAAATCAGTAATACCGATAGTGGAATTAAGAGTTGCTACTGTTTTCTCTCAGGAAAGGGAAAGCAGAGGAGAAAACTGAAAACCTGATAGGCTTTCTAGGTATGGGATTGAGGAAGGATGGACAAGCCCTGAGAGAAGAGCCATAGCTCAGAAGACCCCTGGTTCAAACCACTGACATCTTTCGTTAAAAAAGATCATGAGAAAATGATCATTCTGACACCCTGGTGTGCCACGGCCAGGCAGATCTGATCTGGTGGAAGAGAGCTTTCTATGTTCCAGGACAAATTAGACTTCTCAGGGTCCTAATCGGCTGTCATTAGGTAGGACTGCCACAATTTATTTTATTTTTAAATCTAGGTATCTCAAGCTGAATGCTTCTGAGCCTATACAGAGAAACTCTCTTCTGAATGGGCATTTTGTTTTTGTTGGTTTTTTTAGGGATTTAAGTGGGGAGTGGGGACAAAAGGAAGGGCAGGAGAAGCCAGAATCGCATTCTCCTTCGAGGCTGCAGGACTCTAAAGCAAGATTCAGGAATATAGCCTGGTACGCCAAAGGATCTTAGTGTGGTGCTCAGACAGACATCTATTTCTCCTTGCACCATGCTGCCCCCTTGCCTTCACACTGGAGTAGTACAAGCACCACTGGGATATGTGTCTCACCTGAACGGTATTCGCCCTGGGCTCTGTCTTGTACGTATCCAAGCTCGTGAGGTCTTTCTCAACATCTGTCTGTGAAGAGAAAGAAAGGAGGAGATTTGCTCATCTGTTTCTGAAGGGGAGAAATCTTTCCAAACTTCACAGGTGGGGGAAAAGTGAGACATGGCACGTTTTCACCTCTGGTTCCCTTCTTGTTCTCCTCACCCTCCCTCAGCACAGTGGCGCAGTTAGGAAAGTTTAGAGCAGGGTTTCCCAAACTTGGGCCTCCAGCTTTTTTTTTTTTTGGACTACACCTCCCATCATCCTAGCTGGCAAGACCAGTGGTCAGGGATGATGGGATTTGTAGTCCGAAAACAGCTGGAGACCCAAGTTTGGGAAACCCTGGTTTAGAATCAGGTTTCATAAACACCCTTCTCTCTTTGCGGTGGGTCAGTGGGAGAACATCTGCTTTGCAGGCAGAATGTCTCAGATTCAACCCCTAGCGTCTCCAGGTAGGGTTGAGAAAGAGAAGCCAAAAGCAGCCAAGATAAATAATGTTTCTGATAATCAACTGTTTATTCAACTCAATGTGTTTCAGTGAAATTTCCTTCACCGGGAGCGGCAAAAGCATTCAGTTTCTTAAAGGTAAAGGTAAAGGGACCCCTGACCATTAGGTCCAGTCGTGGCCGACTCTGGGGTTGCGGCGCTCATCTCGCTTTATTGGCCAAGGGAGCTGGCGTACAGCTTCCAGGTCATGTGGCCAGCATGACTAAGCCGCTTCTGGCAAACCAGAGCAGCGCACGGAAACGCCGTCTACCTTCCCGCCAGAGCGGTACCTATTTATCTACTTGCACTTTGACATGCTTTCAAACTGCTAGGTTGGCAGGAGCAGGGACCAAGCAACGGGAGCTCACCCCGTCGCGGGGATTCAAACCGCTGACCTTCTGATCAGCAAGTCCTAGGCTCTGTGGTTTAACCCACAGCGCCACCCACGTTCCTCTATTCAATTTCTTAGGACCCTGATTTGTCAAAGCTAAGAAACTGAAGAGCTGAGTTGGATCAACAGTTGATCATGAGCATTAGCGCTCTCCTATCCCTTTGATCTTTCTCCCCCTCTTGTTGCCAGGGCTGAGAGAGACCCTTATCTGAATCCCTGGAAAGCCACTGCTGGTCAATGTGGACAATACTGAGACAGATGGACCCAATCGTCTGACTCCACGTAAGGCAGCTTCCTATGTTCCTAAATATCCATTTCCATCTAAAGAGAGGGGCCATTAAGTCCACAGTCTGAAAGGACCTTCCTGCACCACTGCTTGCAGCGGTTCTCAACCTGTGGATCCCCGGATGTTGTTGGACTACAACTCCCATCATCCCTGAGCTCTGGCCTTGCTAGCTAGGGGTGATGGGAGTTGTAGTTCAACAACATCTGGGGACCCACAGGTTGAGAAAGGCTAGTTAGAGAATGTGGAACAGCCTTCGAAATACAAAACCAAATGAAGTTTTCCTCAAAGGCAGGGGGGGGGGGAGAGGGGAAGGAGAGAATTGTGATTGTTCAGGGACTGATCTTAGAAAACAAGGACTAGGGACAACTGAAGTCCTTGCCAAAACCCTGCAAAAGCCAGTTATAGTCCCCGTTTATTGTAGATAAGTTGCTAAAGCTGAGAAAAGTGAGGCTATCTTCAAGCAAAGCCAGCCCAAGAGTGCCTTCCCCTTGGTATCAGTGTAGTGAGTACCCTGGTTCAGCCATGGTCAGATTCACAGCATGCCTTTAAAGCATGACTACACCACTTCAGCAGTGCTGGCTCCCTTCTAAGAAACCTGGGATCTGAAGGTCTATAACAGTAGCTGAGAGTTGTTAGGAGACCCCATCCCAGTCCCTGTCCCAGAGCTACAGTGCCCAGAGAGGGTTAGCAATCAATCTCTCTCTTCCCAGAAAATTGTCAATTGTAGCTCTGCGGGGCAGGAACTCTCCAGAACTCAGTTCCAGCACCTCTCAGGTGGGCACCATTGCCATTCTAAGATAACAAGGGAGGTGCTCATGGTGAGTTCAGGCACCTCTTTTTTCTAGAAAAAAATAGCACTGGGTAATGCTAACAAGGGACGCGGGTGTCGCTGTGGGTAAAAGCCTCAGCGCCTAGGGCTTGCCGATCGAAAGGTCGGCGGTTCGAATCCCCGCGGCGGGGTGCGCTCCCGTTGCTCCTGGTCCCAGCGCCTGCCAACCTAGCAGTTCAAAAGCACCCCCGGGTGCAAGTAGATAAATAGGGACCGCTTACTGGCGGGAAGGTAAACGGCGTTTCCGTGTGCTTTGCTGGCTCGCCAGATGCAGCTTTGTCACGCTGGCCACGTGACCTGGAAGTGTCTCCGGACAGCGCTGGCCCTCGGCCTCTTGAGTGAGATGGGCACACAACCCTAGAGTCTGTCAAGACTGGCCCGTACGGGCAGGGGTACCTTTACCTTTACCTTAATGCTAACAAAGTAACAATTTGCTACCTTTCATGGCACCCCAGATCTGTCACGAAGTGGCCACCATGCTTGGCCTCATAGGAGCCAACTCCTAAGGGCCAAGGTCCCTTCAGCCCCCCCCCCCAATATTTTTGAGGACTGCCCCCCCCCCACAAAGCTGATGGGCATTGCCATTCAAATGGTGTGCATGTACCTTGTCTTGTGGTCAATTATGCGGGGTGGGGATTACCTCCCCCCCAAAAAAAATATATATTTTAATCAAGTTGGCATCCCTGCTTGGCCTAAGAGTAGCTCCATCAGCTTGCAAGTTCATGGAGTCCGACGCAACTCAAAACAATTAATTGTGAAGCTATGCCACTGAGTCATACCGCTAGACTAATATGTGGATCAGAATGAAGCTTTCTGTGAGATTTCATAGTTCTTGGCTCGAAAAAAGAACTCCAAAGTGTATTTTTAAATGATGTACAGGAATAAATGTCTACTGTCAAGTAAAATACTTTCACAGCACGATTCTAGCCATATCTACTCAGGTAGGTTCCACTGAGTTCAGTGGGCTAAGTGTGCATAGAACCCCACAAATGCACATTTTAAGAGAAAATACATCCAAAACATAATACTGAGATGTGAAATTTCCTAAGGTTTTTTAAATAAATAAATAAATAAATAATCACAGCTTATATCTTTATAAAACAATCCCATACACACACACACACACACAGAGAGAGAGAGAGAGAGAGAGAGAGAGAGAGAGAGAGAGAGAGATTTTGAAAGAAGATTAAAACAAAAACAAAAAAACACCGAACAATATATGGAAACAGGCTGGAAAGGATTTATGAGTGAACACATGTAAAAGTGACGAGGTTCACAAATAGACTGCTCTATCCTAGTTAAGGGGGCCTTTGCTCAGTTATAAGACACAAAACTGGCTGACGCCAACAGATCATTGGCAGAGGATCTGCTTTGCAAGCAGATGGTCTCAGGTTCAAACCTTGGCATGTCCAAGTTGGACTGGGAATAATGTCTCCTGCCTAAAACCTTGAAGAGACACTTCCAGCAAGTGCAGATGTTCCCTAGCCAGATGTTTCAATAGTCTGACTTCCTATGAAGTCCTATGACTTCCTATAGCCTCCTACGTTGGATTAACATGACTAGGAAGATCACCTCATAAATTCTGCCTCGTAATTTATAATGTGATTCTCACCTGAAGTTTGAAGGCACAAGTGTTTCTGGTGGCCGCGCTGAGAAGAATGAAGATCACGCAGACTAGTTGCAGTTTCATCTTCCTTTTTTGCAATGGGTCCTGTCCCTTTCTTTTCAATCACTTTTCTCTCTCTTTTTCCTGCTCCCAGGCTGTCACGATCTCTCTCTCTTGATCTCTCTCTCTGAAAGGCCTAGAATGTGTTATTCCCAAGCAAAGAAGAGGGCTACTTTTATAATGCCGTTGAGTCCCTCCTCAGCTTGGAATCAGCCAATCGCCTGTGTTCCAAGAAAGAACACGTTTGGATGAGATAACTCTTGAGCAAACAGGTCAATAGGCTTATCACATTTTATCAGAAACTCATATTCCACACACAGAGAGGAAGAGGGGGCCAAATTTCCTAACTGATGTAACTCGAGGTTGCTCCATGACACTTCACATCCTTATTTACGCCTGCTTGTGCAGCTATTGCATGGATAAAGTCTGATGTACAACAACAGGATTGACACATTCTTTCATAACTTTTAATCTACCATCCTTTCTGGGGTTTCCCCGTGGATTACGACTGATTTACTGTAATTTTGTGGTGGGTTTTTTTCCTTTAATTTTTTTTAAAAAAACAACTGGAAGCCAAAAATAGGAAAATGCAGCTTTTGCACTATGACTTCCCCAAGTTTTGCAACACGCTTCCAGTCTGCGAAGAGAGGAAGTTTCACAGAAGGGGAGAATGGTTTAAGAAACAAATCGGGAATGCAATCGCCACCACAGGAATACTTCGAATGGAAGACATTACTGATCACTAAAACCTAGTTCTACGGCAGAGCCCATAACAGACATAGGAAGAACACAATTTGGATTCGGATTTCTGAAGTCTATGCACCTTGACAGATTTCAATGCAAATTGATTTCAGCTCAATGAACTAGCTGCTGGTGTCAATCTATTTAAGATCTGGTTTACGGTGCAATTGTGAAATCGGATCCAATTCATTGAGCATCATCTACAATTCAATTGGGCTGTGAATTCTCAGAAATTAAAGAAAGAAGAGAACAATGACATTCTTAAATTATTTGCTGCACCTTTAGTTCTGGATAATTTTGTGCCACCAAAGGAGTTACTGTGTTTGCTATTTTGAATCACAGAAGTTTAAAATAAATAAATAATCATTACCCCCACTTTTTTAGTTAATGAAAATGACCAATTAGCTGCCAGTGAAGGAAAAAAGGAACAGTGAAAGTGCAAAACATGAGTGTAAAAGCTATTTAATTAAAAGTATCAAAATCCCAGGAATTTTGAACAGATATTGGAAAATCTGAGGAAATCTTTAAAAACAGCAAACAGTAAAATAATAATAATAATAATAATAATAATAATAATAATAATAATAATAATAAATGGCTATATTGAAAACTTAAAACTATAGTGTATTCACATATCCTTTCAAAGTTTTTGAGTTTGTCCATGTTCCAAAAGTTGCAAAGCCCTCATAACTTATAGGGACTGGAAATCAAATAATCTGTTGTTTCAAATCCAGTCAGAATGAGAATTAAAACGCATAGGTTTTATGTTACACATCAAGGATGTCCCTGTGAGCCAAACAGAATTTGCAGGGGAACATTCCCAAGCAAATTATCTCAGTTTGAATTTGTATGCATCATATTCATATTTTATACTCCCCCTCCTCAGTCTTCCTAACAATAATTATTAATATTTTAATAACTGGTTTTATAGTGCCCCTCAATCATATTCCCAGTACAGTTTACAAAAAGAAAAGAATGATAATTATAATTGTGGTTCTGCTGCTGCTGCTACCACCACTACAGCTAAAGATAGTAAGGAGGGGAAATAAATCTGCAAGAAATTCTCAATTATGAATTTTATTTTATTTTAAAAAGAAGCAAATATTGGGTTTGGTAAGCCAGTAATTTACAGCATTCACCCATGCAAGCTTTTCTTTTTTCTTTTTAAGGTATTAATCAAAGCTGAATTTCAAATGCTAAATCTGCCAACACTCAAAATTTCAGAAGTCAGATATGAACCCCACGACTGTGCAAATTTTCAATGGGTAGAAAATTTCCCTTTCAACCCTACTTATTCAGACAACTTCTGTAAATGTGTCCTGTTAGTTTGATGCCTGCTTCATAAATTGAAACTTGTCAACAGATTAAAGAATTCTAGTTAATTGACAATCTTACTCATTCCATTTGTTCAATTTATATATATCTGCAGATTGCCAAAACCACAATGTCTGTGTCTTTTTGTGACGCCTTTTACCTTGTCCACTGGAGCACATACCCCAAAGGGGGAAGATAGAGGAGTCAAAGAACACCAGGGTGTGGTTCACGGAGAAAGAGTTTATTCAGTTCTGCGCAGAGACGGCCAGCGGAATCGCTTCCAAAGGCTGGCCGCGTTTACAGCAAACAGGCAAGCACTTTTATACCCTTCTCATTATCCCATCCCTCAGGTCATCCCACCTCCATCATCCAGTCACATAACGCCTTTTCATTTATTCCCTTATATGGCTCGCTCAATGTTCTGTTGGCATTTTCTCATTGGTTCCTGCTTCTTCCTCTTCCACACTTGCTCCCTTAAGCATGACTCATCCTTAAGCTCGACTCATGCTTAAGCATGACTCATCCTTAAGCTTGACTCATGCAACATACTTGCATAACTTGTTTCCTCCTTCACTCTCAACCCCTCCCTGTTCTTTCCCCATAACTGCCAAGGGTGTAGTCTTCACAAGGTCCCTTTTACATCCTAGTATCCTTCATTCCTTCCTCTTCTTGTGGACAGCCTTCGGGCTCGTCCATAGGGATAGGGTGATATTCACGCATCAAAGCTATAACACGAGGTCCCATCATGCGGGACACCATTTTCTGCATCATATTTTGCAAGCATTGCACCAAGCAAGGAATACAGAAGCAAAGGAGAAGCAAGATTAGCAAAGGTCCCATAAACATAGCAAAAAGTCCCCGGAGCCAACCTGTTGGGAGAAAGTTGTTTAACCAAGACATATCCCAACCTTCCCAAGTCTGTACAGGAATGTGGGCTACTTTTTCAATGCTGGCTGCCAGGTTGCGGATAGCTTCACCATGATCTGAAATATTGAAGCAGCATGCTCCACCAGTTAGGTTGAGGGCAGCACAAAATCCTCCTTGTTTGGCCAGAATAAAGTCTAGCCCCAATCGCAACTGGAGGACAGCAATGCGAGTTTCATCTAGCTGGGTGGCTATGAGACGGAGAGTGGTGGCCGTGGCATTAGCCACAATTCCCACCACTGCCTGGAGTCGAATGATTCGATTAAGGTTGTAAATTGGCTCCCTGGCCCCTGCTACAAGCTCATCGGGGTTCCAAGAGGCCGGGTCATAATAGGCCATTATCCGCTCAGGTGGCCATTCGTTTTCTCCCCACTTCTGGCTGCTCCCCCCTGCCACAGAAGAAATGACCCCAGTGCTCCTTCGCCTACGCGTAAGGCATCCAAACGTAGAAGGTCTGGGTAGAATCCACATTGGTGGAAGCAAATAGGCCGGGAAACATACCCCGAACCCCCCCCCCCTGGGAGCTCATGATAGGCTCGAGTCCCACAGACCCAGTACATGTCCCGTTTTGATAGGGTGACCATGTGGCCAACACTGGAGGTCTTCCGGATGGTTCTGCGGCGGAGGAGATGGAGATCACGACAGACACCATTACACCCTGAGTTGTCATGCGGGGCACAAATACAATCACAAGAGGATCATCCAACATAATGAGTGGCGTTGACGTATGTGTTTTGCATTTGGGCTAGGGATGCAGCCCTGGTCTGGTTGATGCAAAGCCAACCCTTAATTCTGTACACACGAAGGGGAATGGAGGTGTTCCACCATGGGGGCCACAATTGTGCATCCGTGGCATTGGCTGTTTGCTGAATTGTGGTTGCGTTAAGGGGGAGGGGTAATAGGGGAATTCCCCCTGCAGCATCCGTTGGTCCCAAAGTGCAAACGGAGCAATTAGTTTCGTTTGCGGCATGGGCTACCATTTCTGCCAGTTGTAACCACCTATTGTAGGGGTTATGAGCTCCCCATGTAGAATCATAGAATCATAGAGTTGGAAGAGACCACAAGGGCCATCGAGTCCAACCCCCTGCCAAGCAGGAAACACCATCAGAGCACTCCTGACATATGGTTGTCAAGCCTCTGCTTAAAGACCTCCAAAGAAGGAGACTCCACCACACTCCTTGGCAGCAAATTCCACTGTCGAACAGCTCTTACTGTCAGGAAGTTCTTCCTAATGTTTAGGTGGAATCTTCTTTCTTGTAGTTTGGATCCATTGCTCCGTGTCCGCTTCTCTGGAGCAGCAGAAAACAACTTTTCTCCCTCCTCTATGTGACATCCTTTTATATATTTTTATATATCACCCCTCAACCTCCTCTTCTGCAGGCTAAACATGCCCAGCTCCCTTAGCCGTTCCTCATAAGGCATCGTTTCCAGGCCTTTGACCATTTTGGTTGCCCTTCTCTGGACACGTTCCAGTTTGTCAGTGTCCTTCTTGAACTGTGGTGCCCAGAACTGGACACAGTACTCCAGGTGAGGTCTGACCAGAGCAGAATACAGTGGCACTATTACTTCCCTTGATCTAGATGCTATACTCCTATTGATGCAGCCCAGAATTGCATTGGCTTTTTTAGCTGCCACGTCACACTGTTGGCTCATGTCAAGTTTGTGGTCAACCAAGACTCCTAGATCCTTTTCACATGTACTGCTCTCAAGCCAGGTGTCCCCCATCTTGTATTTGTGACTCTCTTTTTTTTTGCCCAAGTGCAATACTTTACATTTCTCCCTGTTAAAATTCATCTTGTTTGTTTTTGCCCAGTTCTCTAATCTGTCAAGGTCGTTTTGAAGTGTGATCCTGTCCTCTGGGGTGTTAGCCACCCCTCCCAATTTGGTGTCATCTGCAAATTTGATCAGGATGCCCTTGAGTCCATCATCCAAGTCGTTGATAAAGATGTTGAATAAGACCGGGCCCAAGACAGAACCCTGTGGCACCCCACTAGTCACTCTTCTCCAGGATGAAGAGGAACCATTGATGAGCACCCTTTGGGTTCGGTCAGTCAGCCAGTTACAAATCCACTGAGTGGTAGCATAGTCAAGACCGCATTTTACCAGCTTCTTTACAAGAATATCATGGAGCACCTTGTCAAATGCCTTGCTGAAATCAAGGTAGGCTACATCCACTGCATTCCCTTCATCTACCAGGCTTGTAATTCTGTCAAAAAACGAGATCAGGTTAGTCTGACATGACTTATTTTTCAGAAATCCATGCTGACTATTGGTGATCACAGCATTCCTTTCTAGGTGCTCACAGACTGTTTGCTTAATGATCTGCTCCAGAATCTTCCCTGGTATTGATGTCAGACTGACTGGGCGGTAATTATTTGGGTCCTCTCTTTTCCCCTTTTTGAAAATAGGGACAACATTTGCCCTCCTCCAGTCTGCCGGGACTTCGCCTGTTCTCCAGGAATTCTCAAAGATGACTGCCAGTGGTTCTGAGATCACATCTGCCAGTTCTTTTAATACTCTTGGATGCAGTTCATCTGGCCCTGGAGACTTGAATACATCTAAACTAGCCAAGTATTCATGTACTATCTCCTTAGTTATTCTGGGCTGTGTTTCCTTTGCTGAATCATTTGCTCCAAATTCTTCAGGTCGGGCATTGTTTTCTTTATCAGAGAAGACTGAGGCAAAGAAGGCATTGAGGAGTTCAGCCCTTTCTGTGTCCCCTGTTTGCATTTCACCATCTTCTCCTCTGAGTGACCCCACTGTTTCTTTGTTCTTCCTTTTGCTACGAACATACCCATAAAAGCCTTTTTTGTTGCTTTTAACCTCTCTAGCAAGCCTGAGTTCATTCTGTGCTTTAGCTTTTCTGACTTTGTGTCTACACGTGCTGGCTATTTGTTTGAATTCCTCTTTGGTGGTTTCCCCCCTTTTCCATTTTTTGTACACATCCTTTTTTAATCTTAACTCAGTTAAAAGTTCTTTAGATAGCCACCCTGGCTTCTTTAGGCACCTTCCATGTTTCCGTCTCATTGGTATTGCCTGAAGTTGTGCTTTTACTATCTCCCTCTAGAGAGCCAGTGTGGTGTAGTGGTTAAGAGCGGTAGTCTCGTAATCTGGGGAACCGGGTTCGCGTCTCCGCTCCTCCACATGCAGCTGCTGGGTGACCTTGGCCAGTCACACTTCTTTGAAGTCTCTCAGCCCCACTCACCTCACAGAGTGTTTGTTGTGGGGGAGGAAGGGAAAGGAGATTGTTAGCCCACTTTGAGACTCCTGAAGGGGAGTGAAAGGCGGGATATCAAATCCAAACTCTTCTTCTTCTTCTTCTTAACAAACTCCCAGCCATCATGAACTCCCTTTCCTTTTAGTATTACTGTCCATGGGATCTCACCCAGCACTTCCCTAAGTTTTATGAAGTCGGCTTTCTTAAAGTCAAGAAATTGAGTCCTAGTATGCTTGGCTGCTTCTTTCCGCTGTATAGTAAACTTCAGAAGAGCATGATCACTCGCGCCTAATGATCCTTCCACTTCTACCCCACTAACCAGGTCATCAACAGTGGTTAGGACCAGATCTAAAATGGCTGTTCCTCTTGTTGCTTCTCCCACTTTCTGGACAATGAAGTTGTCTGCAAGGCCAGTGAGGAATCTGTTTGACCTTATGCTCTTGGCTGAGTTTGACATCCAACAAATATCTGGGTAATTGAAGTCCCCCATTACTACTATCTCCCTTCCTTTTGCATGCTTGGCCATCTGTTCCAGGAAGGCATCATCTATGTCCTCCGTTTGGCTTGGGGATCTATAGTAAACTCCCACAATGAGGTCACTGTTATTCTTCTCTCCCTTAATTTTGACCCAAATGCTCTCACTTTGGCTTTGAGGTTCTAAATCTTGGATCTCTTCACAGGTATACACATCCCTGACATATAACGCCACTCCTCCTCCTTTCTTGTCTGGTCTGTTTCTCTGAAATAGATTGTATCCCTCCATTATTACATTCCAATCGTGGGACTTATCCCACCAGCTCTCAGTGATGCCTATTATGTCATATTTAGTTTGCTGTACCAAGAGCTCAAGCTCATCTTGTTTATTTCCCATGCTTTGCGCATTAGTGTACAGAAATGTGACCATGAGGCAGGTAGCATTATTCAGGGAGTTTAGATTCATGGGCAACTGCAGGGTGTAGGGGATCAAAAACAACAATGAGATCAAGTTGGGGTCGAGCATATACATTATGACCCCAAAAGAGTGCTCTGTGGTGGTAACAAGAGATTACCAAACCCAGGACAATACCCAAAATAGCCAATAGAAGGACCCACCAAGAGAAAAACATCGAATCCCCAAACCTTAAAAGGGTGGCCTAGCCTGGGGCACTGAGCGGGGTATCCGAGGGGTGCGGGACAACCCTGCAGAGGGGTACAAAACACAAAATCGAGAAGGGGGATCTCAGGAACGAATGAGGGATCCTGAGAGGGTGCGCTGATCTATAGAAAACGTGCCACACAAATATCCTCTCGGGGCAATGTGAGGCTCCAAAGGGACCCAGCGTATAGAAATGTTAGGCACTGGTGTAAGACTCCCTCCCATTGATCTATATTGTCTCTCCCTGTTACAGATGTTAGGATGATCCTGATGGCTTCTTCAGCCGTGCGTAGAGGTGTCAGCTTCTGGAGTGACACCAGCGGGGCGGTCGTCTACTGGACGCCTGGAGATGGTCAGCCGGAGAGGGTCTTGAGGGTTAGGAGACACAGTCCAGTCAGATGCTGCCCTTTTCACGCGAGTGTGGTGGATCCAAGGGGTGATGCCAGCAACCTTCACAGCGGTGGGTGTGGAGAGAAGCACAGTATAGGGTCCCTTCCAGCAGGGCTTTAGCGGAGTCTGGGCCCAGTCTTTCACCCACACCTCATCACCTGGTTTGAAACGGTGCAGGGGCTCGACCAAGATGCAAGGGGTTCGAGCCTGGGTCCACCTGTTAAGAGAAAGGAGAACTCGGGAGAGTGACTGTACATAATTATCCATCTCAACATCCTGGACAGGGGTAGGGGAAATCATGCGTACATATGGGACAGGTCTCCCAAACATTAATTCAAAAGGAGAAAAGTGAGTTCGTTTGGATGGAAGACTGCGGACCCGGAGCAGGGCAAGGGGTAACATAGCTACCCAATTGGATCCAGTCTCTTGAGTTAGTTTAGCCAATTGATTCTTCAAGGTCCTATTCATGCGCTCCACCTTTCCAGAGCTCTGGGGCCGATAGGCCGTGTGTAGTTTCCAATTTATTTGCAACACCTTTGCCAGTTCTTGTAGAATTTTGTGCACAAATTTTGAGCGGGGCAAGCCATAGCGGGGAATGATTTCCCGCAGCAGGCATCTAGTAAATTCAGATGACCGCTCAGTCCTGGTGGGCCATGCCTCAACCCATCCGTGTAGGTACATACAGCCACGAGGAGGTAGCGGTACAGTCCACAACGGGGCAATTCGGTGAAGTCCACAACGAGGTCTTCCATGGGCGCCATTCCGCAATGTTGGACACCGGGAGGGGGCAGTGGGCCAGTTCTGGGGTTAGTTTTCTGGCAGAGGATGCACCTCCTGGAGGCTTGCACAGCCAGTTGATAAAGGTTGGCGATGTAAAAGCACCTTTCAAGTTGCTTGGCAGTAGCATCTGGTCCCACATGTGAAGAATCGTGATATCGCTGAATAACCTGCTGGGACAAAGATTCTGGTATCCAGATTTGATCATCAGGGGTGAGGTACCATCCTTCCTTGGAGATGTCCATGTTGGAGGGGGATTTCCAGCCGGTGGCAGAGGACAGAGTGACTCCAGGAGACATAGGTGTAAAAAACCCAAACTAAAACGAAGACTTTATTACTAAGCAAATAAACCAAACTCTGGTGGGTGTTTTCCTGCAGGCAGGCAACAAAACTCAGCTTTTTTCCTTTATAGCAACGGTCCACCTGCAGCCAATTAATCCAGAAACTTCTTAAAGGTATACACACATGTTCTGTGCCGAATGTCCTCTAACAGTCCAGCCTTCGCTTCCACTGTTGATGTTTCCTGAGCAGTATACTGTGGTTTTAGGCCAGGGTCCAGGATTTGCTCAGGCACCA